TATACAACTATAGATGGTAGCCCGATATCAATCCCCACTGGTGCTACAGAACAGGAGGCACTGGGGCAGCCCCAGGCTCAGCGGTGGCGGGAGCTGATTCGGGAACTCAGGATCCGGATCAAAAGCAGGAGGTCAGATGGAGTCCTCTCTGAACACCGGCCACTGCAGAAAGGGACGAAACTCTTGTGATCACTCAATTTATACTAAATATGACGTGTATGGTTTGGAATACTCTCGTTGGTCACCTGTCCTGTCTATTACCCACCGGAGGTGCCACCTTTTACTTCCTTGTGACCCCTCTCACTACCCGGCACCCCCAGCGTGGCACACAAGAGCCAGCAGTGGCCTTGGTCACCGTAGGAATAAGTATCAGCAAGAACCTTTCTGCATCCCAGTCCCAGGCAGTGACTGCAAACATCAGGTGTTATCACTGGCAGTAGCACACACTGTCTGCAAAAACATGCTGCTGACTTCAGAAAGTGCAGCCTTTGAGAAGACACTGAACTGAAAAGTAAAAATCATTAAATAGGACTGGGTTTTAGCTCAAACCCAGGACAGTGTGAATCTTAATTTGCACTATATTTTAAACACCACAGTGAAGTCATGAGGGAATTGAAATCTGTTCAGCAAAATTGCTCTCAATTTGGTAGGTCAGGAAGACAGTCTGTGTTTCAGATGAAAAAGCTTGGCTATTGCTGACAAATACTTAAGTGGATCTTCTTTAGGATATATTAGATTACTGGTTCAAAACATCATTAAAAACACCCAAACACTTAACGAGATTAATATAACACTTGATTCTGTGGTGCAGATAGGTCACTTTTTACTGGGATATTGGCAGTTAAAACAGAAATATGTTGGTCAGTATTTGAGAGCTTGGGATGATAAATTCCAGTGGCATATGCAGCCAAATACTTGGTTTCTCTTCAGACTTACTTCCAATGGCAGGGTTTCATTTTGCCTCTTAATTCTTATTTTGGCTGTAAGTGAAGACACTTGCTTTCCTGCAGTCCAGTTGCCAGATGATTACAAATCAAGTGTAAACATCTGTGTAAACTGATTTGCCTCTCTTGCTTTCTGTTGTTTCTGCTTCTTCTCTTTTGTAAGGTTGCATAATGTGTATATGTCTGCCTTTTGTCTTAATGAATGGTGTGAAATGCTGCTTTTTGAAAAAAGAGTTGTCTCGAAAGACTTGTTCACCCCAGATTTTTCCCTCCGTTGAAATTCAGAAGATAGCTGGAGATTAGAGAGCAATGTTGAAACTTGTAAAGTGGATCCTGTCAGACTAATGAGATTTTCACGTACATCCTTAATTAACTATTTTCAATAAGTAAGATTTTTATAACTATTCATATACCAGCTACTTTATTTATAAATCCTACAGGTATTCTGACAAGCACAGCCTAGAATTAACCTTCAGGAGATTACCGTCTTCTCGTGAACAAAACCAATCTGAAGAGTGTCTACTTCTTCTTTATCACTGTATATTTCTGTGAGATATACACCTGTACATCTGTTTTCCAGGTGCCTTACTAAGTTTGGAGGAATAGTACTGCAGAAGAACTATTGTTACCCTCAGTTTTTACCCTTGCTGTAACGCAATTGTGGTTAAAGGTGTATGACAGCATTGTTTATTTTTTTACTGACCATCCTCCAGATAGGAATGTGTCTGTATAAAAACATATTTTTTATTTTTACTGTTCTTTAATTGCAGTTCTTCAGCTGGTGGAGTAGTTACAATGAAGCTATCAACTACCTAGCTACAGTGCCAAAATACCGTATACAAGCTACTGAGATTGCCAGGCAACAAGGTTTACTCAACAAGACTAAAGAAAAAGGCAAGAACAGGCGGTCTAAAGAAGAAATTCGTGAAGAAGAGGAAGAAATCATCAAAGACATTATTAAAAATAAAATAGATATAAAAGGTGGTTATCAGAAGCCGAAGATATATGATATCCTTCTATTTCAGATCCTTCTTGCACCTTTTTACTTGTGCAAATATGTGGTTTGGTACTTTTGGTGGATTTATTGCTTCACTATTAAAGGGCAAGAGTACGGTGTGGAAGAGAAGCTGTATATCATACGAAGGTACATGAAAATGTCTCAGTCACAGTTTGACAGCCTAGAAGATCATCAAAAAGAGACCTTTCTTGAACGGCAGTTGTGGATACGAGAAAACTATGAGGTGAGTAGCTCTGGTGGAAAAGCGGATGTTAGTTATCCAGCACTCTCAGAGTAAGAACAGCTGTGTTAGGACGGGGCTGTGTGAAGCAGTGCTTCCATCTTAGGTATTGCTTTCTAAATTGAAAAGTTATGCAACCACTCAGTGTGTTTTCTTTGACTTCCTCTGCTCATGGACCAGTAGACAACAGCTACTGGCAATGCCCATGGGTATGGGGAGAGATTTGCTCAGACATGACATCCACCTGTGTTTGTTAGAGAATCTAGGCATTCAAGATTTAGTTGAATCTGGTGAAATGCTTTCTTAGAACAGGGCAGTATGACAAAGTTATTACAGTACGTTGAAGACTGTTCTCCAGACGGTCGTAATCTGTAATAAGAGTTACTAGGAGCATCAGAAACTCCTTTTTCACCATTTTTATAAGCTATTAATTCCTAGCTTTTTCTTCTTTTTTTTTTTTCATACTGTCCCTTGATTATTCTTTCATGCCTTAATTGAGTCAGGGACTGTTCATGCTGTCTTGTATGCATACTCAAATAGAGATGGCATATGAAATACCTGCCATTGGCCAGAACTGCTACTCTTGCCATGGATAGCTAATTACTCAGTAGTCAATATGTAATTTCTTTTAAATCTTTCTGTGAGAGTGTGAAAGAACATTAGCTACAGCTTGGAATTTGCATTCCAGAATGACTTGGGATGCTTTGGGGTGGCAGATTGACAAAACATTTTTATTGTTCCACAGAAGCTCATCTGTGGGCCATCTGGGTGGGAGTTTCTAGAAAAGAAACTGAGAATATGAATTTGGCCGGCTTAAAGGGTAGAGGAGATGTTGCTGCTGCTCTGCATATACTGGGAAAAGAAATGGGATGGTGGCAGAACTGCTCTTGCAGGGCACCAAAGCTAGAATCATAGAATCACAGAATGTTAAGGGTTGGAAGGGGCCTCTAGAGATCATCTAGTCCAACCCCCCTGCCAGAGCAGGATCACCTAGAGTAGATCACACCGGAACACGTCCAGGTGAGTTTTGAAAGTCTCCAGAGAAGGAGACTCCACAACCTCTCTGGGCAGTCTGTGCCAGGGCTCTGTCACCCTCACAGTAAAGTTTCTCCTCATGTTGAGGTGGAACTTCCAATGTTCTAGCTTACACTCATTATTCCTGGTCCTATTACTGGGCACCACTGAGAAGAGATTGTTCCCTTCCTCTTGAAACCCACCCCTCAGATATTTGTATACATTAATAAGGTCCTCTCTCAGCCATCTCCTTTTAAGACTAAACAGCCCCAGTTCTCTCAGTTTCTCTTCACAGGAGGGATGTTCCAAGTCCCTCAATCATCCTCGTAGCTCTCCGTTGGACTCTCTCCAGTAGTTGTGAATTGGGAGCCCAAAACTGGACACAGTATTCCAGGTGTGGTCTCACCAGGGCAGAGTAGAGGGGGAGGAGAACCTCCCTAGACCTGCTGGACACACTTTTCTTAATGCATCCCAGGATCCCATTGGCCCTCTTGGCTACAAGATTTTTTAGTAGGCAGAGGTGGAGTAATCTAGAAGCCGGAAGAGGAAAATAGTAAAATTGGTCATAATGTAAGGAAATGTTTAGCTAACAGATACATATACATGTTAAATTATGGAGGGTTTTCTAGAAAACAGCCTTACTAGAAAACAGCCTGGAAGTCCAAAAATTGAATGTTACTAGTCAAAGCAGATGTTGTATGGAAAAAGTAGGATACGATAGATATCCTGTTGTTGTAGAGAAAAAAATGACAGTTTGTGATCCATGTTGTTTCTAACTAGTGGTGTTTTCATCACTCGATATAAAAGAGCGGTGTTGGACAGAAGTGAACTCATCTCCTGTGGTAGCCAGCAGCTGATTTTTAGTGAATAATACATGAAAGTTCCACCTATATAGCAATATTTAGCCAATAAAATTTGCAGCCTGGGGACTTCCTGAAAAGGAAATAGTGTCTTTGTAGGTAATTGCTTTTTTCTTTAATATAATTTTTCTAGCCACACCTTGAATGCATTAAAACTTCCAGTGTCTGCTGTGCCATCTGGTCCTGAGTTCAGCAGTACATGTAGGAAGATGTGGTCTTTTTTGAAGCCACCAAGACACCTCCTGGTTCTTTGTATTATTGAAAATGGAGAATAATCATGCTTTATTCTCTTTTCTCATGCTATCTGTGCTCCTGTGTGCCACTACCATATCTGTACTCAAAACACAGTCATGCCTTTCCTTAGGCTGAAAAATAAGCTTTGATGTTTCTCCCCAAAAGCTTCTGTGTTCTTTGATCACTGATGATGCTTATCTGCATATTGTTCAGTTTTCCATTGTCCTCTTAGGATGGGGAAGTTCAAGAATTCAATAGACAGGTACATCATGGAGCTCCACAATGTTTTGGGTTTTCCCCTCCTTTTTCTTAATAATTCTTAAAACCTGCATGATCACTGAACATCAAGCCGATGTGTTTATAAAACTATCTATAATATGTTTTAAATCTTGGTCATGCATAGCAGAACCTTAAATTTAATTCCCTTCTGGGAGGAAGCCAGATAAGATAACATAAACCTTTATGGTATCTACAGTAGCTCTGTCTACATAAACTGCATTCCAGAATAAAAACAGAGATGCAATTGCTTTTTTTTAGATACCTGACTTTGCTGATAATTACAGATTTCATTATAATGACGCCATTTCTTGAGAGAATGTAACTACTTATAATTTGGTACTGCCAATACATAATGCAGAGATATTAATTTTGTTGAGAAACTTCATTAGAAACAAAAAGTATTCTGTCTAGCAGTATTCTGTGTAGACAATGATTTTGAAGTGGGAAAACAAGGGGGGAGCTGAACAGCTGCATTGAACAGCATGTGCACTAAGAAGGGACTCAAAGTTTAGCTTTCTGAGTGTTAGCAGTTCTTTACTGTAAGTTTTATTCTGTGAAATAAATGAGCATGTGGCACTTTATCAAAAAGGGTTTGGGAGATTGCAGCACCATCTTACAAGGAGGTAGTTCTGCTCTCAGCAAAAATACAAAGCACCTCAGCTACAACCAGTAGGTTCTTCAGCTGAAGGTACTCCTACACTGCGTGCTGGTCAAGGTCAGCTTCTAGGTTGCAATTAAGTCTTCTGAAAAGCAATAGGCTGTTGAATGGTTGAACTACAGATGCTTACACCCCTCTTGCTTAAGCTGTTTCTTCAACCTTATTATAAACTTTTGTCTATCAGGTGTATAAACGAGAACAAGAGGAGGAGTTAAAGAAGAAGATGGCCATGGATCCCCGATGGAAGAGGTATCGGCGGTGGATGAAAAATGAAGGACCTGGAAGACTGACTTTTATTGACGATTGAATGTTGCTGAACAAGTGTGTGCTAATGTCAAATGTGGTTTGCAAAACTTTTCACTACATCATTCAGAGTTTTTTTCTGCTGTGGCTCAGCAGTGATGTAAAACTCAGGAATTATTAAATCAGGCCAAAAAAATAATACAGGTTTACCATTTTTATAAATCAGACCTACTAAACAGGCTCAGCTCAATGTATATATGCCATTTACTTGGGGATATCAGTGCGGAATTCATTATTCCAAACAACGTTTTTTCTCTACATATGATCAATGGAACCATAACTCTAGTCTTTCTGAAAAAGTTTCTAGATCAATCCTTGAAAGTAATTTTTAAACTGAAGGTTTCCTGCAAGCGGACACTGGAAATGCTTTTAAAGGATTCTGAAGCAAGGCCAATTTTCTATTTTACTCTCTCTTTCTCCGTGCTTTTCAGTCTAATTTCTAAGATGCCAAATTGTTTTTTGATGTAGACAATATGGGGATTATACTGGACTTCTGCTATTCCTGCTCCATTTGGAAATGAATTTTATTCTTTGTGGGAATAAATGATGCATGGCTGATGATCATTGTGATGAGAACAAGCCTTAATTCTTTGTTCTGCAGTGATTCACAAAATAGTATGTTTAGATCTTTTGCATTTAGTTTTTCATCTTATATGTTGGATTGTATCTGCTAGTTCAGAACAAGTATACCAGTGAATATTAGTCTACTAAATGTGACATTTCTCTCACCAAAGTATTGGTAAAAGGGAAAATGACCCTTTTTTTAAAAAAGGGCAATTTTGATGCCTTATGTAAATAAAAATTTATGTAATATACACACTGAATCTGTTTAAAATTCTAAATCCAGAGTATTCTTTATGCTTATCTCTTCTCATCAGACCTCAGGGTACTTAGAATAAATAATGCACAACAGCATGCTGTGATTTCCTCTAGCTCAGGCCAGGTCAGAGTTTCTATGATTTGCTGAGGAAAGGAGTTCTGTTACCATGTTTCTGTTCAGGAATTTTATTGGGGAGGGGTCAGGTGTGTATGGGGAAGCATAACCAGATCAGGCTTCACCTGTCATTTCTCACATCTGTGAAAGCAAGTTGCTCAGAAGTGTTTCTGCTGAAAATGGTTCTAGATTAGTTGGCTTCTGTGGAATTGGTGCTGGGAGAGAAGCTCTTGAACTTACTATTCAAGCCAAATCTGCTAAGACCTAAAAGTTGTTTTAAAGTGCATATTGATTAATTTTTGAAGCAAAATGTTTCTGATTCTGCAAAGGTGACCTGTCCTTACTCTCTGAGGAAGAGTTTCTGTTCTCTGTCTCTTTTGCTAGTTTAGCTCTCACCAGTTTTTGGAATGTCATCGTGGTTTCCTGTTTAAAATAATACGTATTCAAAAGCATATAAGAAGTATTATGCTAAATGGCTAACTTATGTATACATTAGTAAAACAGAAGAGCAACAGCCAGATTTGTCCTTTATCTCTGGTGCACATAGTGTAGCTCTAAACTTAAATCACTTTGTCTTTAATGGTCAATTCAAATCTAAAACTTGTTAAAGAAGGTATCTAGAATAAGCTATGCTTGCTGGCCTGGAGTAACTTTAGGGACACTGTGGTGGCGCGGGGATGCTGCAAAGACGTTCATGAAGTGAGAGACCTTCATAGATAGTGTGTATTTGCTTCATCCCCCAAAGCAGTTGGCCTCCCGAAAGAGTGGAAAGGTGAAGATTAAGTTGCTGTGATAGAAACAAAGGGAGTAAAGGTAGGTACAAGTAAAACGGTGTTGATTATTAGGTAAGACAGTTATGTCTGGAAAAGAACCAGGCAAGTGCATGCAAGCTGATCTAAACCTGTAGCCACAGTTTCACAAGCTAACAGTGCTGCTGCTCTTGCCCTTGTGCCTCACTGCTCCATCCTTTCCCACCCAAGCCAGGTATCCAGGTCATACCAATAAGCAGTCAAAACAGGCATCTCTTTTCCCTTTTTGCCTGGGTTAGTAATAAGATTAATTTCCTGACCTGACGCTACAGCAGGAAATTGGTGCAATGGAGGGGCAGTCCCTGGGGAGGACAAAACTGTGTCTTTCAATGGCAATGGTATCTCGTCTTCGTAAAACTGTGGCCCGACACTGTGTGAAGGGGAAGTCAGCAGGTATTGTAGGACCTGCTGGAATGAACTGTGTAGTTCCTGCTTTCTCAGTATACAAGCCCTTTGAAAATAACCAAACACAGGCATAAACTCACAGGCTATAGTAAAACTTTGCTGGGCAATGACACTAGTCAACTCCATGACAAAGGACGGAAAAAGCTTGTGTGTAGTTGCAAAGCTGTCAGCATTGCAGTGACACCTACTTAGCTGAGGCAACAGCATTTCTAGCCTAGCATGTCATGGTAGTGCTGAATGATGTCATAATTTGTCAAGGCCCATTTTATCTTGAAATAAAGTTGACAGAACAATTATTTATATAAGGGAAAATAAAAGCAGGAAGGTGACTGCTCACAGTTACAATGCTATAGCTGGTAAAGGGAGTGTAAATTGAGATAGCTTTGGAGTGGAGAGTTTACATGAAGAAGTGTTGCTGGTACTGGGTAGCAGCACCAAGACCTTTTATGTAGAGTTGTGTGGCAAGGTAGTAGTATCTTGGAGAAGAAAAACTTTGTCTCCTATCACCTTTTTTTCAAAGAACTTGGTCTGTTTGCTAGCATGTATGCACTTTCAGATACCCAGTATATATAAAATGAAATGTACATTTCACTCAATATGCAAAAGGCACTCAGAGTCCAGGCCTTTCACACTCATGGCAAGTCTTTTCTATGACTGTGCTGGAGCTTTGACTGAGGCTCAAGCATGCTCATGGCTGGTTGTTGCTGTGTTCAGAGCAATCATTTGAGGTTATGAGCTTTATCTGCACAACCTTTGAAGAGGCCAACAAACTGTTGCCTGGCAAACCTTCACCAGAAAGTGACCTACTAATGTGATGAGCAGCACAGGGGAGAGATGCAGCACCACTGGCAGCAGCTGCTGAGCAGTTCAAGACTAACAGCTGTCTGTGAGCAGAGCAAGCTTTTTGTTAAAACCTTGCAGGATGTTTAGAACTCCTTTCCTCTTTTTCTTGCCTCTCTGTTTTTTTCCCTTTATTTTCCCTTTTCCTCCCCCCCCTTTTTTCCCTCCTTTTTATCTTTTCACCCTTTTTTTTTCCTTTCTTCCCTTTTTTCCATTTTTGACCCTTTCCCCTTTTCCTCCCCTTGCCCCTTCCTTCTTCTGCTTTTATTCTCCTTTTCTTTTTTCCTTTTCCTCTTCTCCCCCCTTTTTCCCTTCCCCTTTTTTCCCCCTTTTTCCCCCTCCCCCTTTTCCCCCTTTTTCTTTTTTTCACTTTTTTCCTTTTCCCCCTCCTTTTTCTCCTTCCTTTTTCTTTCTTTCCCATTTTCCACCCCCTTTATCCCCTTTTCCCCATCCCACCTTTATTTCCCTCCCCCACTTCTTCACCCTTCCCTTTTCCCTCTTCCCTCTCTCCCTGCCTATGTTTTTTTTTCTTTTG